AACTGCCACGATCAGAATTGTGCTGAATGTTACAGTGCAAAAAGGATGGAGCTTGAAGCAACTAGATGTGTCCAATGCATTCCTTCATGGTGAGTTAAAGGAACCTGTGTACATGACACAACCGCAAGGCTTTGTGGATCAAGAAAAACCGGAGTATGTGTGCAAACTCACCAAAGCTCTCTATGGACTTAAACAAGCTCCTCAAGCATGGTTTGACACATTTAGCAACTTTCTGATTGACTTTGGCTTCATCAGCAACAAGTCAGATCCTTCTCTTTTCATCTACCACAAGCAAGGGAAATGTCTGGTGCTCCTTCTATATGTAGATGACATCCTCCTTACCGGAAACGATGCTCGTCTTATGGATCTTCTTCTCCAGAAGCTCAACACTCGGTTTCTTATGAAAGATCTTGGGTTTCCAAAGTATTTTCTTGGCATAGAAATAGAAAAGACATCTACTGGTCTGTTTCTACATCAATCTGCTTACGCTACAGATGTTCTTCATCAAGCAAGCATGGCAACGTGTAATCCTATGCCTACTCCTCTCCCCACCAACCCTGATACTCTAAATGATGAAAGATTCCCTGAACCAACCTACTTCTGTAGCATTGCTGGTAAGCTTCAATACTTGACTATCTCAAGACCTGATCTGCAATTTGCAGTTAACTTCGTGTGTCAGAGAATGCACTCGCCTACTATGGGAGACTTTGGTCTGTTGAAGAGAGTTCTGAGATATGTAAAGGGTACTGTTGCAATGGGTATACATATCAGACATCAATCGAACTTGGTGTTCACTGCCTTCTGTGATAGTGATTGGTCTGGATGCAGAGAAACAAGACGATCCACAACAGGGCTATGCACTCTTCTGGGTCCTAATCTAATATCCTGGTCTGCTAAACGTCAAGACAGTGTCTCTAGCTCATCGACCGAAGCAGAGTACAAAGCTCTCACTGAAGCAGCCAAAGAGATAACATGGCTGACGTTTCTGCTGCGTGATTTGGGTATAAGACAGTACAATCCGATTATGCTCCAATGTGATAATCTCTCTGCTGTCTATCTAAGCACAAACCCGACTCTTCATAAACGATCTAAACACTTCCAGAATGATTGGCACTACATAAGGGAGCAGGTGGTCATGGGACACATAGAGAAGAAATACATCAAGGCAAGTGAGCAGCTAGCTGCTATATTCACAAAGCCCCTCGCTAGAAGAAATTTTGAAGAATTAAGAGCCAAACTTGGCGTTTCCTTGTTACCCACGCCAAGCTTGAGGGGGAATATGGATAATAAGGTAATGGGCCTTTCAAACGAAGCCCATCAACATTCAAATCTCCCAGCTCACCTCCTCTGTAAAGTGAAGACGACAAAACAGAGTAACGGGAACAACACTTCACCGGCTGAGAGATTCTTGTGTAACAAATTTGATTCCTTATCCATAGCTGGTCAAGAGTGAGTCAAAGACAGGCTGGTGGATACCCTAGATTTAGTGTCTTTGTATATAAACCCTTGATGGGTTTCTGTAAACATCATCCGAGTTTTATAAAGTAAAGTTCAGTAAAGTTCATCTTTCTTAAAGTTCTATAGTAGTCAGTTCAGTTTTTGCAGTATTGGTAACGACTACTGTGGTCTTGGTTGCCAGTTAGGTCCTTGTATAACCTAAGCCGAAAGTCTTGGCACCATTGTGTCACAAGCTTTTCTTTGACGGTATTATCAACCGAGCTGCTAATGACTGCGGCGGAATAGAATTCTACACACGTGATGCTTTAATCAGTGCCGCCAATACTTTTCCCAATTTTACCAGCTCCGTTACTAGGCTTGAAATTGCTACCATGTTTGCTCATTTCACCCAGGAGGTCGGATGTCAGAATTCATTCCACTTTCTCTAATATATTTATTTTTCTAAGTTTATTTCATACATCAACTGTGGTCGACACCAATTATATTCATATAATATATAATTGGACATTTGACTTGGCACAAATAAATTGAGCTGTTTCTAAAGCACTTGGTTTCATGTAACCATCTTTATATCATATAGATTTTTGCTACATAAAAGAGATAAACGGAACGTCACAAAACTACTGCAACGACAAGGGATTACCCACAATACCCATGTGCACCTGGTAAAAACTACTACGGTCGTGGTCCGATTCAAACCAGTGGTCAAAGAGGGTTGAACTCGGATGTGCACCTGGTAAAAACTACTACGGTCGTGGCCCGATTTTTAAAAAAGTGCACAAAGAGGGTTGAACTCGGATAGCTTAATTAATGGTGGATCAAATAGAGAAGAAACAAACCATTTGAGCTATAGGAATTTCGGTACAAGTTAACACACTTGGTAAAATATATTTTTAACCTGTGGCAGCTGCACCCCTTTATTTAAGATGGGTCTGCCTCTGATTCAAACTATCATGGAACTACAACTACGCACCATGTGGCCAGAGTCTCAGTCTCGACCTTCTATGCCAGCCTGATCTCGTAGGTAGCGATCTAATTGTAGCTTTCAGGACAGCTTTGTTGTTCTGGGTGAATAATGTAAGGCCGGTACTGAGTCAAGGATTTGGAGCCACCATTAAAGCCATCAATGGGTAAGTAGAATGTGACTTGCGAGTCCAGATAAGATTAATTCAAGGATTAGGTATTGTAGAGACTATCGTGGGCAGCTTGGTGTGGACTCTGGTTCTAACCTTAGCTGCTAAAAAGCTCTTTAAAGACAATTGTTGAACGGTCGTGTCTATATTGAAATAATATGTGAAGCTATAGAATAAAATTACATGCATGTTTGGGTCAGTACTGTTTCCTGCTTCACAATCAAAAAGGTTGCTGCCTGTAATAATCTTGTGAAAGTTAATTTAAATTTATCAGTGTCCTGAGTTGCAAAAGTACTAGTAGAATCATATATCGTTTAGTTATTCCATAAAAAGTTTAGCTTGATAAAGAAGTGAATAAAGTGAGTGAAAATCCATAAAGATTAATTATAAAAAAATTCCAGTCATTTGATTTTTATGCTGCAGTAGCCTGTAGTTAAATCAAAATTTTAAAAGAATCTTCGCATGCATTATTTTATTACAGCTATCATTTTGCAAACCAAATTAAGCTATTATTCGGGCCTATATACTATTAATCGATGTATACTCATGATTGTTTACGTAATATGAGATGACTTTGACCAAGTTAATTGAAAAGTCAATCCTAATTTAAAATGAAAACATGATGTACTTGCCCAGCGTCAAATGATCGAGGATGCATCCTCGTGATTCGTATATATGTGAATTGCATAACTAAACTAAAAATATGGGAAAACTTACAAATGTGTCTTTCTATAGTATAATATAAACATCAATTTTAATTTATATCTCAAATAAGAGATGTTTATGTTTTTCTTTTCTTTGGCATATAATTTATTTGCAGAGTTTAAACTTACGTAAGAATGACATATTCATATTTCATTCTATCCGCACACATACCAAATTAACCAAGGGAAATGGTCAGCCTTAATCCTGAGGTTTTGTTATGAAGAGAAGGTAATCAACAAAGCCCATACTTGGGCCTTTCCGTAATTTAGTTAATTTATAAAGAAGCCTATACAATATGAGATAAATCCAAAAGGCCCATACCTAAGCAGAATAAAATTAGGGCTTCTTCTTTTAATCCCGTCACAACTGATAATATATATACACATACACAACCGACTGCACAACACAACTTGTAAGAAGCAAAAAAATAATCCGATCGGTGTTTTCTGTCGAATTATCTTCTCTTCATTGTTGTTTGTTTCTGTTTTTTTTCTAGTATTGATATGCTGTGATGAAAAACTCGTGTGCCAGAGGTGTAGACTTCGTTCTACATCGCTGACGGTTAAACACATCCCTCTAAGAAGTTCTGAGCTCTTTAATGTTTCTTTAATTTAGAAAATCAACTTTTTTATTACTTTTGTTTTGATTTTTTTTTTCAAAAGTCGAGGTGACGATAGAAATTTCACAGGTCTATTCCACTGAAACATATTGTGATGTTATTGTGATATCTCGACAGGTTCTGATCGACTCGTATAAAAATCAAAACTTTTTCTGTGGTTATGTAAAAAAATTGTTTTTATTCGATTTGGGAAGATGATGAATCCCATAAACAATGGGTTATTTGCGACTGATCTTATGTTGATGTTTATTCACCTTGGAGAACTGATTCCCAGATTGAAAAAATATTTCCTTATATTATTTTTGTGTTATTGATATTGTAATCCTGGGTATATGATGAAATTATATTTCATGGGTAATTTGCGTCTGAATCTTTTTGATGTTATCTTTATGATTATCTGATGCCCAGAAAAAAATTTCCTTTTGTTTTAAGATGAAACACGTTAATAATGAATTTTGTTGTATGCCACCAGTTGTGTTTTTCCATAGTTTAAAATTACCTGAAAGGATTTGTCTAAAAGAGGGACAGCGTTGATAATGATGATGATGTTACCATAGAACAATCCAACTCTGACATCTTCTGATGAACATTTACATCATGCACTACCATCTGAATCTTGCTCTCCCTTTTTCATTTTTAAAACTGTTTAGGAACTGATTGTATTGATCTGTTGGCTGGTCAATATATAGTTTTATATGATTTTGGTTAGATGTTCTGCTTTGAATGATTGTTGTTCTTTTCAAATCGTCGAAAATCCCTTGATATAATAAATTTACAGGAAAGTCTGGAACTTTGTTATTAGTAGTCAAGGCTCACTGAATTGATGTGGATTGCCAGTACATAAGTTGTTCTTTCCTTTGAAACATGTACCTGAAACTAACAAACAAACGCAGCATATATCGGCTTCGACTGATGAGACTAAAACCGCAGTGTACTAATTCATAAACAAATAATACTCTGCTGTATATATAAAAGCTGGTGTTTGTTTGTTTGAATTTTAAATTTGGTGAAAAACGGAAATTTCAAAATCTTCTTTAATATATTAACAAAGACTAATCATAGACTCTGCTGTATATGAAAAAATCTCAACTTTGGCACATATGAAGACATAGATGCCATATTAGTGAGCTGTGTCTTCCTCGTCGCAGAACTTTGTATTCTTTTGGACCCATCAAATATACAAACTTTGTTGGGTTGCTCGGCTTCACTTTGACCATCCAACCATCTTCGTAGGGACTTGAGTTGATCTATACAACACACAATAGGCAATAAATGTTTTTTCACGTAAGAAAAAAAAAGAAAAAAAATGTTTTCACGTAAGAAAAAAAAAGAAAAAAAATGTTTTCACGTATGAGAGGTAACTTACTACTTTATTCCCTTCAAGAATATTTTCAAAGCGTACCAAGCCTGGTAACTCTGTGAGCTTCTTGTTAACCTCAATGACTTCACATGAGATCGGTGATAAGATCTCACTTGTCTCCTTCACATTCTCCACTGCTCCAAAGCTTTTCTCTTTACTTACCGAACTATTTTCCTCTGGGAGTTCCACAAACACTACTTCACCTAAATGGCCCTACAACATGCAATGTCATTTCTTCTATGTTTCAGCTTATCATCTTACAGAACTATTATCTATTATAACATTCTCCAAAATAAATAAGACCCTTTTCAAGTTCTAAATGTGACAGGGCTAATGTGATCTAGCCAGCTTCAGACCTATGTCAACAGTTAGATTGCGAAGCAAGTAACCGGGTTTGCGGAACCTAAAGTTAGCCTCTGGTACCTGAGCATGGTCAGTGATGCCAATGGTGGCAACAGAGACTTCATGTTTAACCCACTCTTGTGAATTTGCATACTTCAATCCCTCCAACACTAGAACAACAGAGAAACATATAAACAATTATCGGCAAAGGCTAGGTAACACAATTACACTCAATCGCAATCACCTGAGGAGAAGCATCTAGAGATGGAGAAAGCAGGAGAGAGCTGGGACTTGGAGACATAAGAAGAAAGCTTGAGAGCTGTTGTTATAGAGTAAGCCACACATTCTCATTGCCATATTGTTGTTTCTCTGCTTTTTTTGGTGTCTTCCATCTATGATATGTAAGGCAGAAATTGACGGCCTCATCCTATGCTTATGATGGCTATGAAACGTGTGACACAAACCTTCCCCACTATTCCGAAGCTATTGCAACTATTTTTGGACTCATTTATATGAACATATTATGGCTGGCTAATTGATATATACTTCAGAGATTTTAACTATTCCCATTTATTTCAGATTTTTATTGGACTAGCACCCTCAAAAGATTATGTTACACTAGAAAAAAAATCTTGTTCGGATTATGGTAGAGACAAGACAACAAAGAGTCAAGAAACACAAAAATAAAGACAAAAAGCTTAGCTTCCGGCGGTGTGTATTTGAGTGTACTAATGGGCCTCTATTGTATCTTAAGAGGCCTTAAACTGCGCTAGACGCAGAATAAAACGACAAAACGAAGTCGTTTAGTTAGCCGCTCGCTCACTGCTTCCCTTCCGTCTTGTAATCGAAAACATTTGTCGTCACTTAGCTCCGGAGCTCGATCTTGCTCATCCTCTCAGCGGCAGGTATTGTATTTTGAACTCTATGTTATCCCTATTTCGATTTGAAAGCTAGAATTTTTGTTAATTAACTTAACCTAAAAATCGTTACTTTCTCAATTGATTCTGAACTTTGTTTGCATCTCCTGAATCTTTATATTACTTGATCAATAAGTAATTTCAGGAACAAGGGCACACAATGAATGCTACAACATCACAAAATCTCGAAGCTTTAGCGTCTAATGATGTTCCAGTGAATGTATACATATGGGACATGGACGAGACTCTTATCTTGCTTAGATCTCTGTTGAATGGGACTTACGCTGAGTCTTTCAATGGCTCTAAAGATGTTAAAAGAGGTGTTGAGATTGGTGAGATGTGGGAGAAACACATTCTTAAAATCTGTGATAATTGTTTCTTCTACGAGCAAGTAAGTTCTTTTTTGTTCACAACACTTATATTCAAAACCAGACACTTTAATTACTTGTGTTTTGTTTGTAGATTGAGGATTGTAATGAGCCGTTTATTGATTCATTAAGGGAGTTTGATGATGGCAAGGATCTTTCTAGGTATGACTTTAAGCAAGACGAGTTTACTTCTCCAACTGATGACTTGAACAAGAGGAAACTCGCCTATAGGCATAGAGCCGTTGCGCAGAGATACGAAAAGGTTACTTACTGATGCGTTTCATTTGTTTATTTGTTGTTTATGATGATATGTGATTCAAGTGGGAAGCTTCTATCTTTGTTTGTTATTGCAGGGTTTATCTCCTCTTGTTGACAGTGGAACAATGAGTGTGTTGGATGAGTTGTATGAAGTAACAGATGGATACACAGACCGGTGGCTTTCTTCTGGTAAAATATAGAAAGTGTGTCTGTTTCTTTTATGTGTGTGTAGTGCTTAAATATGCTTTTGTCTTGATTGCAGCAAGAGCCTTCTTGGAGCAATGTTCAAATGTTAAAGAAGATGGAACAAATCAAAGCTCTCAGGATATACATATTTTAGTGACTTCTGGGGCACTTATACCAAGCCTTGTGAAGTGCCTGCTCTTCCGGCTAGATCCTTTCATTAGACATGAAAATGGTATGCTCGGAGACACTTCCATGCATTTGTTCTTCGTAGAAGCGAACTGCATCATAAACTCTCTTTTACCTTTTCTCAGTGTACAGTTCAATAGATGTGGGGAAGCTACAATGTTTCAAATGGATCAAGGAGCGTTTCAACCATCCGAAGTTCAGATTCTGTGCGATTGGGGACGGATGGGAAGAGTGTGCAGCCGCTCAGACGATGCAATGGCCTTTCGTTAAGATTGATTTGCAGCCGACTAGCTCCTATAGATTCCCTGGTGTAACGCCTAAGACTGTGAGCTATTACTTTGCTGCTGTATATGGGAACTCTGATGCTGATACCAACAAAGATTAAGCACCAGAAAAGGTTTCATCTGTAAGATATGCAAGTAACCCAACAAAATCCATTCGTCTACACATTCAAACTCACCATTGTTTATACATATCATTAAGCTGTGGTAATTCAGCATCTGGCATCTATAAACCAAGCAGCTCCCCTTGTAGTTTTATCTTAAAGCTTTTATTTTTGTTGCAATATTTGATTGTTAGTTACTACGCTTACTTGAAGTCTGATTTGTACAGATGTGTTGCTTCTACTCTGTCGCAAATGGCTTGTTAATCGAATTTGTTGCAATAACAACCTAGTGCAGGCTCATAGTCATCAAGATCATCCCACATAACTTTGATCTTGCTAAAGTAGGTCGCAACATCTGTCTCTCTTAATGACATGGCACTATATCAGGTTTTAACTCGTGGACCTGAGGCGCATTACAGCTGAGCATTCTCAACAATTGAGATAGCATATGATATGATGAATCTTGAGTTCAATACTTGCGTATAACCATTCAGTTAGGACTTAGATGACAGTAACCCATTTGTTGTACTGCTTAGAACTAGCGAGTGGTTGTTCAACAGTAATGTAGATTTCAAGTTTTTACATGGCCAAATTTTTTTTTGTTTCTTATGAGTTTAACCAATCGTTTGCAACTGATATTCAGTTAATAAGATCAAAAAGAGGGACACACTTGGTCAGATGTCATCTAGATAGATCCCTGAGTAACCCAGAATGGACAGACATGTTTCCCGCAGGCCGATGCTAGTACCTCAAGTACGAGGGTTCAGACCATCGACCTATCCTCTCATACCTGGACACAACAACTTATTTAGGTATGAAAGGAGACTAAAAGATAACAAGGAAATCAGAGATTTAGTTGCTGATATCTGGCAGAGCTGTCACTACCTGAGTGTTGAAGCAAGGCCTGTTCTTTGTCGTCGAACAATTTGCAAATGGTGCAAAATGTTCCATGAAAGCAGTAGGAAGGTTATTGGTGGTCTGAAAGAGGAGCTAGAGGAACAAATGACAAATGATACTCCAGACGATGACATAATCCTAGAATTAAATAAACTGCTCCTACAAGCCTATCTTTCCGAGGAAGCATACTGGAAGCAAAGGAGTCGCCAACTATGGCTGACTCTAGGAGACTCTAACTCAGGCTACTTTCATGCTGTCACAAAAAACAGGAAGGCCCGCAACAGGCTGACGGTTATGGAAAACAATGATGGAATACTGGTCTTTGAAGAAGATCAAATCTCAGCCCTTGTGTGCGCATTCTATGGGAAACTCTTTACTGCAAGTCAAGGAGAGGAGGAAAATTCAACAGTAGTACAGGCACTAAAACCATGTATAACACAAGAATGGAATGAGGCTCTTACCAGAGATCCCTCGGCCTTAGAAATCAAGGAGGCACTGTTTGTTATTCATGCTGATAAGGCATCAGGTCCAGACGGTTTCTCGGCGAGCTTCTTCCATTCAAACTGGGAAACTATTGGCCCTTCTGTCATAAAAGAAATTCAAAGCTTCTTTTCCACGGGAACGCTACCACCTTCGATGAACGAAACCCATGTCAGGCTTATCCCTAAATCCCAAAGTGCAAAGAGAGTTGATGAGTATCAACTTATTGCCCTGTGCAATGTCTTCTACAAAATCATTTCAAAACTCTTGTCTTTACGCCTGAAGCCGGTTCTCAGCTCTTTAATCTCGGAGAACCAATCTGCCTTCATCCCTGGACGAGTAATATCAGACAATGTGTTAATCACTCATGAAGTTCTACAATTTCTCAAGACTTCTCAGGCTCAAATTCAGTGTACTATGGCAGTTAAAATGGACATGTGAAAGGCCTATGACAGAGTTGAATGGGACTTCATCCTTCAAGTGATGACACGCTTAGGTTTTCGCTCTAAATGGATCAATTGGATCATGCAGTGTATCACATCAGTATCCTATTCCTACCTAATCAACGACTCAGTCTATGGTACAGTAAAACCCCAACGCGGAATCAGACAAGGTGACCCAATCTCACCTTACCTGTTTATACTTTGTGGAGAGGTCCTATCTGGACTTTGTAGAAAGGCTGAGCTCAATGGGTCTCTAAGAGGAATACGGGTGGCTCGAGGAAGTCCCCGTGTAAACCACCTATTGTTTGCCGACGACACGATGATGTTTTGTAATTCTTCAGCCGAAAGCTGCATCTCCCTGCTCCAAATCCTACACGATTATGAGAAGGTGTCAGGCCAAAAAGTTAATATATCCAAGTCTTTTGTTACTTTCTCTGCAAAAAATCCTCCTGAGGTAAAACAAATAGCTAAGGATCTTCTGGGTATTCATAAAGAAGGAGGAGTGGGAAAATATCTCGGTCTACCCGAACACTTTGGAAGAAAAAAGAAAGATCTTTTTACCTCAATAGTAGACAGAATCCGTCAAAGAGCATCTAACTGGTCCAACCGCTTCCTCTCAAGAGCAGGGAAGCTTACTATGCTCAAAGCCGTGCTTACAGCGATCCCCTCATATGCAATGTCCTGCTTTCAGCTCCCTGTGAGTCTCTGCAACAGAATCCAATCTGTTCTCACTCGCTTTTGGTGGGATAAATTTCCAGACAAAAAAAGTATGTGTTGGACTTCTTGGAAAAAAAATCACAAAACCTAAGTCAGCAGGAGGCTTAGGACTAAGGGATATCCAGCTCTTCAACCAGGCCCTCTTGGCAAAAATCGCTTGGAGAATTCTGTCCTCTCCGGGTTTCCTCCTCGCTAGGATCCTGTTGGGGAAGTATTGTCATAAGAAGAGCTTCCTGGAGGCGCAGGTACCAGCAGTATTCTCCCACGGCTGGAGAAGTATTCTCCATGGTAGAGATCTCCTCCAAGAGAACCTAGGAAAATCAATAAGTAATGGTCAGAATATCAAAGTTTGGAAGGATCCCTGGATTTCTCTTACCTCGCCTACAAAACCCTTTGGCCCTATACATGAATCAGCCCTTGATATCAGAGTCTATGATCTCCTTACCGATGATCTTAACTGGAATAAAGAAAGATTGGAAAAATTCTTACCTGAGTTCTCCAAGCAGATTCAATGTCTTAAACCGAGTATGGAAGGAGCTGAAGATATTTTTGTTTGTCTCCCTCTGCAGTTGGGTATCTATACTACTAAGTCGGGTTATAATGTGCAAGCTCAATCCAAGATTCCGAGCTCACTACCGGTCTCGCAATCAGCACCCTTACCTCTGCTTCCTGATCAAGAGTTTAGTTGGTTAAAAGACGTGTGGTCAACTAAAACAGCACCAAAGCTCAAGCTTTTCTTATGGTCTATGCTACAAGGAGCCTTACCTCTGGGTGCTGAACTTCAGAGACGTGGGATTACTTCAGAAGCGCTGTGCCCTCGGTGTAAGCAGGAAGAATCAGTAACTCACACTTTCTTCCGGTGCCCTTTTGCTAGAGAAGTTTGGCGACATATCCCTCTTCATATACCAGTTCACTTAGCTGGGGGGGGGGGAGGATCTTAAACAACTGATGATGAAGTTCAGAACGGCGATCTGTCTCCCACCCACCGGGATTAGGATTCCGATTCTCCCTTGGATCTGTTGGTCCCTGTGGTTGGCAAGAAATAAGTTATTATTCGAAAATAAGACTTCCCAACCCTTTGAAGTGGCAACTAAAGGTCTGGCTTCTGCATTAGAATGGGATCTAGCCCAAGCAGCAGATCAATCAAAGGAAAGGGGCCTTATACCTCAGCAGATCAACAATGGATTACCAACTCATTGCTTCGTCGACGCAGCGTGGGATTCATCGTAAAAAAAAGCCGGAATTGCATGGTGTTTCACCGGTATTCAATCGGATCTCCAGTCTTCAGGATCCCAAGTCTTAGAGGACGTTGGATCCCCTCTTATGGCTGAATCGTTAGCTCTCCGGAAAGGCATCACAGAGGCAATAACCCTAGGCTTATCTTCAGTCACCTTCAACTCCGACTGCGCAACGCTCACAAGAGCAATCATCTCCAGCGGCCAGATTAAAGAAATCTATGGCGTCCTCCAGGATATCAAGAACCTTTCTTCTAGCTTCGCTTCTATCTTCGTCATGTCTCTCATTCTCAGAACAGAGAAGCGGATCTTTTAGCTAAACAGGCCTTAAAGCCTCTTGTCTTTCTTCTATTTCTGTGGTGGGCTAGACGTTTTGGGCCTGAACCTTTATGTTTGTTTCTTTCCTGCTTTATAAAAATCCATGTTGTTCAAAAAAAAAAAAAGATCAAAATTAGAATTTGATGAAAATGATCTTATGAATGCAATGCTGAGAGATTTCTTTGTTGCTTGATTGAGGAGAATTAACGGAGTCAACATGATTCTAGAGACGATAGTATTATCGACTGACAAAATAGACAAATAGATCGCGAAACATTTAGATAATACGCTAAATTTTTACTTTGAGTAAATAGATAAATATATATAATATGTACTCTTAAGGGTTGTTCAATCTGGATTTTAGTTTTTTTTTTCGGTCTTTCACTTTCAGTCTATCAAAAATAGTTATTATATTAACAACATATCTACTTTAGTTTGATTTCGTTTAAATATCTTCGATTTTTGGATTATTAATTTGGTCTTATACCAAAAACTATAAATATATTTATCTTTTAGAACACTTTGTTATTTTTATTTTATATGATCAAATATCAACTTTAATAAAACATAAAAATATTTCAGTTTCTAAAGTACTATATTTTCTTTTACTATTTAAAACAATTAGTAAACATATTAAGTTAACAATAACAACAATTTTCATAAATGAAAACAAGAAAAATTTAATAATACTATAATATTATTGAATAACTAAATATTAGCACACTCAACGAAAAAGTATCAAAACGAAAAAAACCTTTAACGTAAAACAAATATTAAAGTACTAAATCCAACATTTTAAATTTGAAGATCATATCAATAAAATAAAATATGTTTATATTATTAATTATATTGCATAATTTACATATAATTATACAACTATATTTTAATTGAACGGTTATTTCGGTTTATATACCAAACCATATTTATATACCGCGTTTCTTAAAAATAATATTCGTTCGCTATTACTAAATTCAAATCACTTCTTCTATTTTGATTCGGCTTTAGTTGCTTCGGTTTTACCAGATTGAACCTCCTATAATTTTACAAAGATTTTCATACTTTTCTAAGCTATAAGAAAAAATACAATACAATAAATATATCCTTTTGATATGTAAGATAAAGTAATTTTCTGAAATTCGATAACGGTAAACGAACAAAAATGTTTCTCCTTGTGCAACTACTGCATAAAATATGTACTTTTAGTTTATTTGAGAAACAT